CATCATCGTCATCATGGAGACCATCACAGTCCAGAGCATCACTATCGTCACCGTGACCATCATATTTTGAACATTCACCATCAACATGACCACCACAGTCTAGATCATCATCATGATGATGTTGATAGTTCAGGCCATCATCACCATGAAGATCAACATAGGGAATCTCATCAACATCAGCATCATGGAGACCAGCACAATCCAGGCCATTGCGTACAACATGGAGACCACTACAGATCAGGTCATCACCACCATGAATCACATCCCAACCAGCACCACTCAAGAAACAATGATTTTGACCACGATGACCACCACACTCATTTGAAGGGGCATTCTGCTGGCAGTCCACTGGCACACAGGAAGACGGAGCCTCTTTCCATTAAACCAGAGTCTTCCATGACAACAACAAGCAACCCCAGCAGCCACGAAGAGGAACGAACAAGTTTCATTGGCCCATCATTACAACAAGTATGGCATTATTATACTCACTGAAAATGTTTTCTATTATGATGTGCATACACACAAGTAACTACCAGGATCACATGGCTGCCTGTGTTTTATGTTTTTTATTATCTGGTTATGTAATGATGTTCATCTAATTTCCGTTCATATTGATTTGGGCAACAGCTTACACGTCATGGCAGACAATAGATCTGCAAATGACGTTCACGTGTTAAAGAACAATAGATTAGTTACAGAACAATAGATTAGCTACTAAATACAAACTAATAGCAATCAATTTGACATCCTAGACTAATATTATGTGTTCATCTTTCATTTCATTTCATTTTTCACTTTAGGCCTAACAGAGTACCCGTTGAATGCTTTTTAAAAAAAAATAATTCATGTATTTATTACTTCAACGCAGGAGAAGAAAGAGGAGCTGGGTAGAATCATGTAAGTGCAAGGTTATTCATTTGGGTGTTTGGGTATTTGGATGTGTAACATAGAAAATATGGAACTGTTCATTTAAAAAGAAAAACAACGATTTAAAAATAAATGGATCAAAGCTTGACAACTCTTGCTTTTGTCTGTCTGTATTTTAGGATAATACAGGAACAAAATGAAGGTCTGCACCACAGTTTGCTGAAGACAGCTGTGAGGATGGAGTGTTTGGGAGAGGAATTCATGAGTAGCCAAAAGCTGTTGGAGGCGGAACTTCAGAGGACACGCACAGAGCTCAGCAACCTCACAGAGAGGTTTAAGAGGTGAAGAATGCCTTTTCCAGAGACTAACTGCAAATAGTGATAACTGTTATAATGTTTGCTGAGTAAGTCTGTCTCTGCCTTATTTCAGACTACATGATAACTGCTCGTCCACACAGCAGACTAATAATGTTCTGGAGCAAAAGCTTCACTCAGTGGTGAGAAAGCAAGCATGGCTGATGTAAGACATCCATTACTATAAACATATATGTGAGCTATTACATCTTGTTCCCCCATTTTCCTTCTGTTTCAGACTCAAAATATGGAAGAAGAACGACAAAGGTTGAACTGTCGTATTTCAGAGCTGACACACCAGCTTGGTAATGTGAAATTTGGCAACTCTGGCAAAGTGTTCAGTGTAAGCTCTTTGGCATTCTTTCATTTCTAGGTCTGGAAAATATTAGTAACATTTAATTCTGGCATTCCTTGCAAATATCAAAGTAGCGGCTGCTAAGGTTGCAGAAAAAAAA